TTAAGGTCTAAAAGAAGATTTGCTACGTCCTAGGGTGTTCAGCCTAAAACGGTCCCCACAGTACTCCCCAAAGTAAGAGCTTTCACGGTACCTCTAAGGGTATTGAGCCAAAAAAATTAAAGACAGTGTTATTCAAGATTTCCGACGAGTACTCTGGTCATTTTTTATATGGGAGGTCCCTCCTAGGGATAGTGAAAGGCGATAATAATTCCGTAGCTCTTAGTACGTATGATTCTGGGAATGTTTCTTTTCCAGATATTCTGAACAAATATCTCAGGCACTGCATTTGATTAAAGGCTCGTATTACTACATCGAAGGGCTACATAAACAACAGTATGGAAACGACACCTTTGCTGTGGGAGTCCAGACTCCTGACAAGAGGAAGTACATCCCTATACCTTCTCAGTTTCTGTGGACAGCGACGCCCCCTAAGCCTAATGGTATGCCAGTTATTATATAATATAATTCGATAAAATAATACTAAAATTACTTATATTGCCCCTTTTAACATGCAGTGATCAAAAGGCGCCTTATTTCATGAATGCCGAAAATTAGATCAAATTTTTAAAATAACGCTAGTTTAAAAAAGTACGTTTTGAGTAAGGTTTTTAACTGTTATCATTTTCTATATGTAATTTGTATATATTTTAAATGTTTTTTTTTTTTCTGACACTCCTGTAAAATTAATGTTTTTGAGATTTTGAATAAAAATTGAATTGAATTGAATTGAACTGCACTTAGGCAGAATGTCGAACGAATAAATTGACTCCTCTTCTTCTGAATTATGATCATTGACAGGACATTGAAATTAACAATAAGACCGTTAAGAAGACTGTGTACTAATTCCTTTTTTCGGATTTTGTAACTATGAGTATTTCACCCTAAGAGAGCTGGTTGGGTTAGCCTTTCCTCACTCGGTGGCTATTGTTAACAGAAAATGCTGGGAACCTATTAACCTGCCAGTCTAACGTAACTTTGATAAATATAAGGATGACCATTGACCAATAACGCTTGAATTCATACGCTTTATTTACTATATGCATAGGCACTTTGCAACTGGAGTCACGTGACAAAATTTTTGCTAAAAATGTTTATATTACTTAAGAATGCCAGAAATGGAGAGAGCATATTAAAAATATCAAAACGAAAAATTCAGAGGATATCTATGGATGAAAAATGTTGCTGGAGAGCAAGGTCTTGTTCTCCGACAACTTTTTCCACACAAATCTTCTTAGTTTTTTAAAAAATCAGACTGTCGTATAATCTCATTAAACTTGGCCATTCTTATATCTTCGACATGCTTTTTCCATTTCTGGCATTCTTCAAGTTAGAGCCCATAATTTTGCGAAAAGTAGGTTACGTCACGGCCTAACTGCAAAGGGCCTGCAATCACTGCAACCACTCAAATTTGAGAAATCAAAAATTTCATAATAATCCTTGGTTGAGTCAATACTTATTCCCCTTCAGAGAACGCAACCGGTCCAGTTCTCATAACAATAGCAGCTGAAGCAGGCGCCAAGGCAGGAGCCTCCCTCGGCGCGAACGAAGCCATTAAAAGTGGGGCAAAAGCAGGTGCCCGAGCAGGGGCTGAGGCTGGACAAAAGGCTGGAGCAGAGGCTGGTGTCATTGCAGCAACTAAGGCAGCAACTGAAGTAGCCACCAAAACACTAAAGGAAGCCTTGGCAAAATTAGGTGCATTCAACAAACCGGTAGGATGTTAATATAATACTAATACTAATAATAATAATAATAATAATAATAATAATTAACACATATTTATACTAGATGGCTACATCAGTTTTAAGGAAAGCTTGCTATCAATGTAGGTCCTGTATAAAAAAAAAAAAAGAAATAATAAAAAATAAATAAATAAATGAAATAAAATAAAATAAGTAAAACTAGTAAAAATAAGACTATAAGAATATAGAATTCCCCCCTCCCCCCCACCCCAGGAAACACAACACAATCCTGTGCATCGCCTTTGTTCTGTGTTATATATAATATGCTTTACTCCCACACTTTGTTCTGGGCCCAGGAGTATACGTTAAGGTTACCGGAGAGTTCTTGAGGAAATCTGATAAAAAAGTTCCAAATTTCGGCCTGCGAGAGACTAGTGTCTCATCCAAGGAAAGAAGCAATGACACAAGCTGGATAGCACCAGCACTGATTCGTCAATCCTATCTCTTGTAAAAGGCTGAAATAATCATTTATTACCCCTTTCAGATTTTTAACATTTATACAGCAAACGGCAGCGTTATTTCATCGCAATCTGGAGGAACGTCCCAAACTGGAGCACAAGGAGGGGCCACCGCAACGGCTCAAGGTAGTCAAACAAGTCTAACAGGTCAAACAACCCTTACCGGTCAAGCTGGAGCCAATGCAACCATTTCAGTCGCCCAAACAGGGGTATCAGGTGCATCTGTGGCAGGCGGGGGATATGTTGCCGGCTCAATTGTCCCTCAAATTACACTCCTATATGCCTTTGCTCCTGTTGGTTACGATGTTCACATATACGCGAGACAAAAAATGTTTTTGGACTCGCAAGGATTCGCCAGAGTGAGTAAGTAAATGACTATCACCGTAAATGACTATCACCGCAAATGAGAATGAGTATCGTGCTTCCGTGAATGAATCTCAAGGAAATTTGTTGTTGTTTTTTTTATTATTATCATTAAAACCAAAACAAAAAGATAAACTTAACTGGCCAACCGACTCTATATACAGCGTTTTTTAAATAAATGTTGTGTGTACAGTTTATTGACAGTAGTAATTGATGAACCTTCCAAAGTGGAGACATACAAACTTTCAGATCATTCCTCAACTGCATTTTTGTAGTAAAGATAGATAGCAGTACCTGAAGTGCCAATTTGAGAGGCCCGTTATTAGTGAGACACAACGACAAATGATACGAGAGCACGAGCCGTTGGGCGAGTGTTACTACACGTACAGCCTTTTCGAGTTCTCCCAAACTTTCACGTGTGTTTCTAGAACTCCATAGAAACAAGAAGTAAACTGTTCTCTATATTCTTTTAGAAAACAGCCAAGAAAAAATAACAAGCAACGAAAACTTTTCTGTGTTTCGAGTTATAGAAACACGGTTTTTAACCAATCAGCGCGCGTATTTTCTTTGGGCTATGTTCTAAATATTTTTATATAATAACCCAAGTTATTCTCGCATTTTGATTGCTTCTTGCCTATGATCTATTAGAGGACAGACGCACGATTGACGTCATCATTACAAAAATGTTTCCTTCCGCGTTTAAAAATGGCGGAAAGTTTTGAGAATTCAGATAACATTTTACAAGTATTGTCGATGCATTGAACAGGTACGAGAAGCATAGTCTAGCTAGAAGAAGAAAGATAAAGCCGTTTCGTTTCCAGAAAATGACTCAGAAAAAATACTCGAGCAGTCTCAGTCGGCAGTTGAGCGAGACTAAACCAAACACAAAATTGGTCTTGGTAGGCCGAGAAACATTGCGTTATCTCGAATTTAACAAACCCAATCAACAAAATGTTTATGAAATTAATTTATTTCAAAAATTCAACTTTTCTCAGTCTCAAAATAATTGTTGACACACTGATTGATGTCAGTAATGAAACATCAAGACATTAAAATCAGTTAAAATAAGAAAACACATAACCTTGCTTTCCGATGCGAATGTTCCAG